CAATTCACATGATGATCATTTGCAGATCACTTTACTGCGTCACATTTCTAATTTTCTAAAGATCATTTGGGTTACATTGTGAACACATATAAGTATTATGATTTTTTTCATTATATTTATGCAACAAATTCTAATAGGATCAATCTTGTTGTTTATACAGTACAACAACCATTCTCATTGTAGATATTTCCTAAGATTAAGGCCTTATTTGAATTAACAGCTGACAGCTATATTGATCTTTCAAGATTTGATAGAAAGTCCACTAACACAACCGATTATAAAAAAGTATTGGAGCATATTTTAAAGGATATAGCTATAAAGTATAAGACCTGCATTCATATCACTATTGCAAACAAAGCAATAAGACGTGAATTTATTTCTTCAGTTCTTCACAGCGTTACCTCTTACTATAATGGTGAAGTGAAAGTATATTCAGAATATAAGTTATCTAGAAGTCATGGTAAACAGCCAGTAGATTGGATTATCAAGATTGAAGATACAATTATTATTGTTACTGAGGTTAAAAGGGAAGATATTAACCAGGGTGTTAGCCAGAATGCAATTCAGTTACAAGCTTCATCTTAGTGTAATAAAAAGAAATGCACATACAATGAGGTTATGCGTGAAGATGTAATGTATGTTATCATTTTGACAGAGGTCGATAGGGTTATAATTAAGTTAGTCACTACTGGCGAATATAATGATAATGATAATGGGAATGTCAAGGTATTATTAAGTTTATGAACACCATTTACTTTCCTCATTAATGAGAAGTGTGTTCAATAAAAGTCTTGTATTTGAAAAACTCAAGAACTTGTTCGGAAAATCAAGAAAGTGTTTGATAGTTAGATCAAATTACAAAAATTATTGAAGCGGGTAAAAACAGAAGATAAATAAGATAGTCTTGTTAGACACTAGCATAGAAAAAATCGTCATATATCCTGGGCAAAGTCCCAATTATTGTATTTATTTTTTTAATTCTATATTAATAAAACTTGTCTTTACATTTGCAACAAAACATTGAATAATTCATAAAATTTTATGATTATATCAAGCACTTGATCCAACAATTCATTAAGAGAATTAAATGCTAAGCTCTTAGCTAAGATTTGTAAGCTTAAGAAGAAAGTTGTTGAGGATGAGATTGAGAAAATAAAACTGAGACAGGAGCTTAAGGCAAGAATTGATGAGCTAGAGAAAACTATATTATGTTATTCAATTGAGATTGGTAAACTTAATGCCATAATAGTGAAGCTAGAAAAAAATAAGGTAGTTATCACTAAACTCGAGTCTGAGAATGCTGAGTTTAGAGATAGAATCACTAAAGTGAAATAGAAACAAATGCTAAATGATACTACTTCTAATAACAGTTCATCTAACTTCAATTCAGTTGCAAATCATTACCTATGATAGTGCATTATGATAAGGAATGAATACTTTATAACCTGAAGAACTGATATCAGAGGAGATACCAAAGGTATCTGTGTTAGCTATCAAGCTCAGTAAAGTAAATAGTGCAGTACCAAAAGTGATAATGGTATCTACCAACTCTAAATCACCAAAGGAAAAAGAAATGGATAAATTCTTGAACGAGACACATAAGAAAAGTGTTAGTAATGGGATAAGAAGACATAATAAGAAGAAGAAGCTTAGCAAAGTAGAGCAAGTAACTCTTAACTAAAATCAAGAATCTGATACTGGATGCTTCACTTTTGAAAAGATATCAGAGGTATCAAATCTCGTGACTAAAATTTCAGCTAAAGCCCTGGCCAAAATAGCTATAGGAAGAAAGATGCAAAAAATATTGTATAAATGATAACTGATGGTATTAAGGATAATGCCTAATTGAGTGACAAAGTCACTTCTTGCAATTGATTTCAACCGGGGGTCTCTACTAAAATTTTTCTACTGTTTCATTACTTGGTCTCAGAGGAACTCTTTCTCTAGCTCAATTATTTGATAAAGTGATTGATGCTGAATATATTATAATTCATATTAATCAGAAAGAGATTTTACACTGGTATTATTATGGAAAAGAGTTCTTAATTCAGATTAATGTGATTTTATAGGATAATAAGTGTAAAATTAGTGAAAAAAAGGCAAAGGGAATAATCTATGATAAATTATTAGAACACCTTTCCATTCTTCATAAAAGAGATCTGAAGACACAGGTTTACAACTCCTAAAAATATCACGTAAATACTTGTAAGGGAAAATTCAGAAAGCTGTAAAAATATACAATATATTTGAAAACTTAGGATTAAGTATATTTCAACTTATAGTGTAAATTCTATTTCAGAGTTAACAAATGATAAAGTTCAAGAGATCATAAATAATTTCTCCAAATAGGAAGATGATTTTTTAACTCCAGAAATCTCAGCTAGGGATTCCTGCCAAAATCATGTGACCAAAAATCCTGAAACTAATGAAAGAATCATAAATACTCCATCGGTTTTGAAATTAACTGATGTTAATAAATCAGTAAATGTACATATATTATCTGTACCTTAATCTAGCCTAACTTATAACCGAGCATATTTTGTAACAAGACATTAGATGTGTATCCTAACTTATATAGAGAATTTAGTAGTGAAAATTTCAATTATTATAGAATTACTGATGAGAAATTATGTCCATTATACGAGTTAGAGCATAATGATGAGAAAAGCTTAGAAGGTACATATGAAGTTGGATCTTATTTTATTAAATGTGAACAGTGTGAAATTAAGATAGTTACATAGTCTCATTATTTTATTTGCTCACGTCTCATTGTGATATTTTTTACAAGACTAATTTATGTTGATTATTACCTATTGTAATTTAAATTGATTTGCAATCATATAAAAAGGTAATATGAGCAAGTCTGATAAAGTATTAACCCTGAGTATCTGGATTGGCATGCCAAATTAACTGGTTTACCAACCATTTTGACAGATAAGATTCGTTCTAATTTATACAAAAAATATAAAAAAAAAACCAGATGTGAGTCATGGCAACTAACAAAAGCTATAATAGTGTTAACAAAACTTCAAAACTATGATTTTATGCCTATCACTTTTGAAGTCAAACCTGATTAAGAGTTAATTAACAAATCTGTCTTAGAGCATTTTACATACCATATTCCTCCAAAAATAAGCAACATATTTTGTTATAGTGTTGCTTATTTTCAGGTATTTCAATATAATTACCAAAACTTCAACTTCAGAAAAAAAAGATGGTGATTTTTAAATAGAACTTGGAATTTGTTAATCAGGAAAGCCAAAATTTAACGTAAATCTCATGATCGATAATCACGTTTAATTATCAATTTATCATATTAAAACGATTAAAATGCAAATAAGTTTTAATTATGCTAAGTACTCCAATTTGTAAAAAATGCCAAAATCTAAAAAAAGAGAGTTATTAAGCGTAAGGCTAAAATAATTATCAAACGTAAATGAACCTCGTATTCTATTGAACAGAAAATACATGTCATTACCTATGTAAAAGAATACAGAAATAATCAGACGGTAAAGTACTTTAACATTAATCATAGTATGATAGGACACTTTTTATCTTAAAGTCAAGAAGAATCTTTATGACTGGATTATAAAACAAGAACAAAAAAAGCAAGGTCTAACAGTAACCTATTCAACCATATGAAGTAAAATGCTAGTAATTTTAAAAGAACTGGATATGATGGTTCTTTATGGTAGATCAGAAGAATTTAAAATATTTTACCATTGGTTAACTGCATTTATGAAAAGATTTAGGTTAGCATTACGACAATGAACTTGAATATCTCAGAAACTTCATCAAACTGAAGAGTTATTGGAAAATTTCACCAATTTGTTACTAATCTAAGAATTGAAAAGTCATTCAAATTGGAAAATATTTTTAATATAGATGAGACATCCGTTTGGTTCAATATGATCGGTAATTATACATTAATCTAAAAGGTGAAAAAACAGTTCATATTTGTGCAATAGAAAATAAGAAGAATTGGTTTACAGTCATTCTTATATGTGTTGCAGGTAAGTTTTTTTTTATAAAATCGAATTTATTTACCAGTATCATTGATTCATTATTATAGATGGAATCAAGCTTCCTTCAATATATATTTTCAAAGAAAAGTGAATTTCACATGGTGAACAAATTCCTCTTAGTATTGTTGTTTAGTTTTAAAATAAGGCTGAATTGACTCTAATTTAATAGTAAAGTATGTAAACTATCTCAATGATTTATGAGTGAAAAACAGGATCCAGCAATGTTTGTATATGATTCTTTTAAAGGCTATTTGGAAGAATTGATTAAATCAAAGTTTTATAAATTTTGCATTGATTTTGCAATAATTCAGATGAATTGATTAGCATTTGCTAACCACTTAACATCGTAATAAATAAGCTATTGTTATCTTATGATACTAATAACTGAAAATTAGTATTAACGTAAGATTAACAAAGGATTTAGCTTTAAAACTTTACAATGCGAGATTTATAAAGAGCTTCTGAAGGTTTATCGATCAAATGTATTTCAAGTTAATGTGTAATTTCTGGGTTAAGTATTTAGAGTTTTATTAAAGAAAAGAATTATTACAAGTATATTTGTTAGCATACAAGTGTATCTAGTAATTATCTTGTTGACG